ATACATCTCCTTTGCCTCTTCCTCTCCCTTCTTCCCCTTCCTCTCCGCCTCCATCGCCGCTTTCACCAATCTCAATCCCTCCAACCCGCTCACACAAACACCATCCATGTCCTCCACCGTCAGCTCCACCTCCATCACATCGCCACTCCCCTTCCACCACATCACCACTGGCCCAACCGCCCACCCATCCATCACCGTCGTAAACCGTGCCACTGTCTCCCCTACACACCATGGCCGCTTTCTCACCTCCATCGGCCTACGGCTTGATAAGTTAACCGCCCGCCCCTTCGATGGGTCTATAACAATCCAGCTTAATGTGAGATCTTCAGGTGATATGTCCGACCCTTCCAGCTGTGCATCAATTAGGAAGGGGGAGGCACGAAACCAAGCAGAGGAGGTATCAGTCTCGACGACGCAAGAAAATATTGGGATGCCACGGTGGTAGAGATCGACGGCGGATATGAGTTCGACGGGGAGGTCGTTGTGGTCGACTAGCGAGGAGGAGGCGGGGAAGGGAAAGGCGTCGGAAAAGAAGCGACGTGGTGAAGAACTCACGAGAGGGAGGGTGCGAGCGTGGTATAGGGATGGCCAATTGGAGAGGCAGAGGTGTCGCCACAAGTCGGGGTGGGAGGAGACAAAACGGAGTTGAGATGTGGCGCAACTTGCTAAAGCGAGGGATTGGCCGTCGAGGTGGCAGAGGGTTTGAAGAAGAATATCATAATGAATTTCTTCTATGCTGGTGGTGATTATTTTCGTATTGGTCATTAAGGAGGGGAGAGGCTTTTAAAATGGTTTGAGAGGAGGGAAAGGGGTTATGCTTATTTTATAGTTTTTCAATGATGATAAGACTGAAAATATCCGTTGGCTTATTGAGAAGATTTCTCATGACTTATTCATCAGTGTTGAATGTGAAGACATTTGGATCATAATCTCATAATTATTTTTTTTTATTAAAAATATTTTAATTTATTAATTTTATTTTAAGATTTATCCAATATATATATATACTTACATTTGACCGTTTCTTATGAAATCAAACACACCTTATTAGATAGTTAACCCGGCCCTTTTATTACGTCCTCTGATCGGACGTAGCTCTACGTTCGGTCAGAGGATTGTTACTCGGTTTTTGCTCGGTATTGCTACGTATTCTTTGGTAATAACGAGGAATACCGCTCTGTGAAGATCAATACCGAGTAACCGAGGAATACCGAGTAATCCCAAAAAATATCGAGTTTTTATAGAAAAAACTTGGTATTTTTTTGGATTACTCGGTATTGCTCGGTATTGCTCGGTATTACTCGGTATGTTGTCTTCACATAATGGTATTTCACTTTATTGTTGATATTGCTCAGTATTTACTCAGTATTTCTCGTTTTGTGCCTGCGATCTTAGTGCCGGCCGAACGTAGCTCTACGTACGTTCACCGGACCAAATAAAAGTTCCTCTAAGTGGCCATTTACATGTTCACAAGTTTTTTTAATGAAAGAAAGTTATATAAAATTTTATAGTTTAGTGATTGGTAGATCTATCAAAATAAGTTAATGGGTCATATTTGACTTTGACTCGAAATTAGCCCATCTCGAATCTAGTCAATTTGAACATGATATGTTATTCCTTTTTTAGTAATTTATCTACTATAGAGTTTATGATATATGATAAAAAAAGTGTTTCATACCTGCAAGTAAGATGATGCAAGAAAAAAATATTAAACGGCTTATTTTTGGGTCAAATGTGAGTTTATAGGTTAACCAAAATTAAATCAATTTACTAAATAGGTCGAAATATCAAACCCAAATACAACCCATTTATTAAACGGGTTATAATTCGAACTCTAATATTTTAAATCGGATTGATATATCGTGTCATTTGTTGACATCGCTAGTATTCATAGAAGTTAGTTCCTTAGCGAGGCTGCGGTGTTTGAGTCATTTATAACTTTTATTTATCTTTTTTATATATTTATAAATTTGAATTATAAAATTTTATATTTGAAAATTAATTTTTTTCTAATTTATGAAAATAATTAAATAATTTTAATTATTTGGACTGTACATCAACAGGAATTAGTTTCTTTTATTGCTTTTAATGATGATTTAAAAGATAATTAAGGCTAAAAACAAAGGATAGGCCCGCTGGTTTATTTGGAAGGGTTCTCACAAAATCGTGGCCGTTGAAAGGCATGCACGCGTGTTGCTTTTGATCGCATAAGACATTTTACAATTTCTTATGAAATAAAAATTATATATATTTAATTCTAAATGAGAATTTTTAAAAATAATTATGTATTATTTTTCTTTGAGCTAAAAGTACATATATTAATTTATTGAAAAGTGAATACAAGGCATAATAATTTAGCCTTTTAAAAATTAAAACTCTATTAAATTAATATTTGAGCAATTTAACTTTTAGAATATATATTTAAAAATAAGATCATATTTAATTATAAAAAAGGAAGTTGATGACTTATTAGTTTAATAATCTCTTTATAAAATATTAAATTTATTAGCAGGTAATGAAGCATTGTCTTTGTATGATTGGTTGTAAAAAGCTTTCGACGAAAAATTAATATCGGGGATAAGATCATCCTAATAGGTTTTTTTTCGACGTGTTTTGGGAGGATGGATGATAGCGAAATTGTTAGTGGATATCTGGCTTCCAATATCTTCATGATAATAATTTGACCCATTAAAACTAATTAGTATGGTTTAAGGTTTTAGCATCAATCTTAAAGATACGAAGTCTATTAATCACAAGGGCATCAACATGAATAAAAGGAGCATCATGAGGACTATCATCCATGGAAAGTTTCACCAATATATCCATTAGAAAAAGTCGATGAATCCTCAATCAAGTCTGAGGTTTGGTTTGGGCAGCTTTCTTATTGCTTTTAAAAGCAGCTTGTTAGTATAATTTTTTTAAGATTAAAAGACGACCTTTTTATTCTCCAAAACCCCTCACCGGAGAACAAATAAGAAAATTGAAAGGAAGAAAGATTACGCCGACAACTAACTCTACGGCAATCCTGGTAGTGGGGGAAGAGATTTTTTTTTTAATAAATATCTTCATAATCAAAATTTGTTCTAGGGGCGCTGCCCCTTGATCCCAATTTGTTCATATTTTTGATCATTGTTTGCTTCACAGATATGTAGGGGGTTCGACTATTCCCCTTTTAATTTTCTTTACTATTTCTCTTTGTAAGGATATTTCTCATTGAATTTTTAGTTGTAAGGATATTTTTTGCCTTTCAAATAAAGCCTAAATATTTGCTCGGCTCCTGAGAAAAGCTTAAATAATTGCTAAATGATATAGTCGTATTACTCATCTCAAATAATTGCTAAATGATATAGGTCTCGTTTTTTAATAATACTTTACTAACTTCTCTTGTAATTCATTCATTTTATTTTATTTTTTAACATAGGAGATAAAATAATAAAAATAATTTATTTGACTCAAAAATAAGTATACCAAAATTTGTCCCATTTTAAAAATAAAATTAGTTGATTGATCAACATATTCAATCATACAAACATATGACATTATATGATTAATTTTTTGCCAAGTGGCCCATATTTTATGTTAATTAACACTAAGGTTTGAATTGATCTTGAACTGAGATATCGAATACAAACAAAAAATTTTGAATTGAACTTGAACGGAGATTGAGCGAAGTATTAATAAACTAGCTCAAGTATGAATAAATATTTGCTCGGCTCAGTACATTTGCAACCCTAAATGCACAAGACAATACGCTATGAAGATTTTATTCTCATTGTTTGCACACGACAACAAGCAGCGAAGAACATTCAACATTAAAACAAAAGGTGACCTTATAATTCACCAAATGTCATTGGAAATTAACAGAAAAATAAAAGCTAGAAAGATGGCGATGACGATGACAAAGCTCAGATCCCCAGCCACCCCCTCTTTTGTCTTAGCTCTTCTTCATTTATCTTCATATTGCAATACTCAAAATATCCTTCCTTCGCCTCTTTCTCTCCCATCGCCTTTCTCTCCGCCTCCATTGCTGCCATCACGACTCTCAATCCCTCCATCTTGTACACAGGCACACCACCCTCGTCCCAAATATACAGACCCAACTCAACCAATCCCAATCCTTCATCCAACCATTTTCCCAGCACTCCCACTACCCAACCATCTCTCGCCAATGTGAATCGTGCCACCGCTTCCCAGCCCCAATAATGTCGCCTCACCACCAATGCCTTTCGGCTCGATAAGTTCACCGCCCGTCCCTTTGTTGGGTCTATCACAATCCAACTCAATGTTAGCTCTTCTGGCAACATGTCCGTTATAATATCTAGTCCTTTGATTCCGAAGGGAACATTTAAAGGGGTGGGGTAGGAGGTGTCACTCTCAACAACGAAGGAAGATATTGGGATGTCGTGCTGGTAGAGATCGACGGCAGAGATGAGTTTATCTGGGATGTCTGAGTAGTTGGCTGGTGTGAACGAGGTGGGGTAGGGAAAGGCGTCGGAGAAGAAGCGGTGGGGGGAGGAGTTGATGAGAGGGAGGATGTGAGGGTGATGGAGGGATGGCCATGTGGAGAGGCAAAGGCGGCGCCAGAGGTCAGGATCGGAGGAGATAGAACGGAGGTAAGAGGTGGCAGAATTCACCGAAGCGAGTGATGAGCCGTCGAGGTGGCGCATGATTTGAATAAGGATGTCAGGATGAATTTCTTCGATGGAGGTGGTGGCACCGGCATCATTAAGTTTTGTTTCTACCATTTGAGAGGAAAGGGGCTTTACAATTTTGGTTGAGAGGAGAGAAAGAGGAATAGCTTATTTTATAGTATTTTCTACCGACCTAAAAATAACTAAACTAAAAATAGCAAGTGGACATGCTGATATATTGGAAAATTTTTATTTTTGACCCTCGAAAAGCATATAAATTTGGACTAAATATTTCTTTTAATTTTTTTTATTAAAACAGATTTTAAATATATTAATTTTATTTTAAGATTAAAATCATATATTTCAAAATTGATAGTTTTACTTGAAAATAATATAACATTAAATTTTGAATTATTATTTCACATATATTACACTCAATCAAAATAAATTTAATGATTTTACAGTTCATCATCACCAAACTTTAATTAGTATGCCTTTATTCATTTTTTTTTTCAAAATATTATTATGATATTATTTTTTAAATTAAATTGTGACTATTGATTAAAATTTTAATTGTAAAATATTTGAAAAATAAGGGACCGAAATACATAAATCATCATTTTTTATGCATTTATATATCTAACATTAATTTTTGTTATATTTTTGTTTAATATCTAGATATTTAAATCATAAAAATATAACTAATATATTTTCTTAAGTAAAACAAATAAATTCATGCATAAATTTTTATGTGGTTACATAATTAAATATTAAAATTAAGCTAATTTTAAAATATTTACATAAAAAATATTTGATATGTAATGTAATTCCTCCTTAAAAACTGAATTACTTTCAGTTTTAGATAAATCACCATTCAAATGTTGAATTTGTCAACTAACAATGAATTTTTGCTTATTGATGTGGATTTCCTACGAAAGAAAGCCCATAATTTAATGGGCCCAGTTATAAGGCTATCTATCTTTTATTTAATGGGCCCCCATAATTCATAAATCAGTCCAACAATATATGGTTCTATGGTGTAATGGTAAATAAGCCGAACACAATTAACATACTAAATTTGATATGATCATAATAAAAATTCAAATAAAAAAAAATAAAAAAAAGACCTATTGGGAAGACTTATAACCAAAAGATTATATATAATATTTGCTAAACTTACCAAAACTTTTGCTTTCTTTAAGGTAATTTTTCGTCACTATTTTTTTTGCTGCTTACAAGAAATTTTTGTAATAAAAATTTTCTTTAGAAAGCAGTAAGAAAACTATCTCAAACGAAATTTAAAATTAAATTTATAAGGTGAATACAATATGTAGTGATTAACAAAAGGAGAAAATTATTTCTCTAAAATTATCAATTCATGCAACATATTCTATGATTTATCACTCATTATTAAAATAGATTAATTTTTAGAGAAGAACCTGTGAATAATGATAATTAGAAAAAAAGAGCATATTTAATTAAAATTTTAAAAAGGAGCAAATACGTCATGCAAATAGACATATTCCCTAAAGAGAGAAAATGAGATGAGAGAGGTTAACATGCATTAATTAGTTAATATTACTAAGGTAGTCCGTTACAATACAGATGTTGGTATTTTAGGTAGAATTGAAATTAAGTAGGTTAACTTAGTAAAATTAAGATTATTTTTATTAGATTTTTGAGTCATTAAGATAAATTCATATATATCACATACACAAGCTTATAATTACTAAAGACATCTTGATTTATAATTAAAACTCTGCAAGATGAGTTGCGTAAAATTAATATACTTTATTATAGTATCATTCATATCTAAAACTTGGAGTGGTGATAGGATGAGATATGCCACATATAATCACTATGAAAATTTCGTGCATTCGAGCATTACTTTGCAGTGGTCTAAGAATCGCTATTAAAAGTCCTTTTTAGAAGTGGTTTAAATTGATGCAAATGTTAAAAAAATTTGAGTTCTTTATAGCTTTTTTAATCGCCGCTAATAGTGACAGTTAGGTTTTGTTTGGGATTACTTTCTTACTACTTAAATCAGTTTAAAATTTTTATATTAAAAAAATTTGTTTTAAGAAGCAAATAAGAAAGTTGTCTCAAACTAGGGGTGCAACAAGTCAAGTCGACTCGGATTTGACTCGTTAACGGGCTCGACGAATCGAGCTTATTGAGCTCGTGAGTCGAGCTTGAACACAATTTCAAGCTCGAAGGCTTAACGAGCTTGAGTTTGAACACTTCGTAGCTCGACTCGAGAGCTCGTCGAGTAGCTCGCGTAAGAGAAACGAAGCAAGCGAAAGCGGGATTCGCAGGCGGGAGCGAGATTCGGGAATCATATTTTGTATGATGTAGGGAACGGGATTCGCAGGCGGGAGTGGGATTCGATGGAGCTCAACGGGACGACGGAGCTCGCGGCTTGGGAGGACGAGCTTGCGGCATCGACGATGGGACGATGGTCCACAGAGGTCATCGTTGCTCGAGACGACGAACGGGATTCACGGACAACGCAGCTGGTCGGGAAGGAGATCGACAAGCCGCTCGACTCGACTCGTTTCATGAGACGAGTCGAGCTTGAGCTCGATATTTGGCAATTGTGTTTGCACCCCTATCCCAAACGAAGTCTTACTAGTTGTTTTCACAATTTTTATATTGCTGACAAAATTGTGGCTTTCTTCTTTCACATTGCCCTCATGAGAAAACCCTGCCTTAGCCTCTCTTTCATTGTCCTAGGCATGAGAAAGCCCTGCCCTTGCCATGGAAGTGAGAAAACTTCCAACTCTTCCTCTCCCTACTAGATGTCTTTCAGACCAAACCCTCCACCTTACCGTAAGCCCTAAACCTTCGACCCTTCCTAGCGATCAAAAGCTTGTAAGCAAGAAGAAATCTGCATTTATACAGAAGCACTGTGTGGGAGTGGAAAAAATATTAGGTGCAGAGTGTAGACGGGGGAGCACCATCTGCACACACACAAGATACCAAGCGGTACTTAGTGGTACCCAGCGGTACCGAATGGTACCTAGCTGGATTTTATACGAATGTGCGGACGGTTCTCCCCGTCTGCACTCCGCACCTAATAATTTCTCGTGGGAGTGACAGTGATCATCAACAACTGTGTAAAGTTTTTGATATTATCCAAATCGGTTCTAATAACCAATATATAGATTGCAGTCACATTTAAAGAAAAAAAAAAAAAGCAGAGTTTATTCATTTTTTGTTCAGCACATAAGAACCCTTTACAGCTTATTAATTATTGATTTATTAAATGAGCTGAGTTGAACTATGATGGATTGATATTGTATGTTGTTAGTATGTGTGGAAATTGACTATGTCGATCAATCGTATTTTGTTCTTGCCACGGACCTCAACTCAGTTTGTCATGCTTGCTGGGGTCTACCTCTTGCTTGAGTTCTAGTGTACTTGAGTGCCCCGACGTTGTGTACCATTGCATCCTAGCACTATCTTGTTTTCTTGGGGAAAAGAAAGTGAGCAGAGCGTTATAGTGCTCAAGATCTGGCATTGCGGTATTGTCAGGCAAAATGATTGCAGAGTTTTGAGCATCGCGACGCTCCAAACTGGCACCTCAGTGCTGTGAGGCCGGCCGAACAACTTTTCTTTCTCGTTTTTATTAGCGGTGGTATCTCTTGGTGGTATGAATTGTATCTCTTTGTTTGTTCTAGTGTAAGAATGGTGTAAGTGAGAAGAGAAGCAATGAAAGAGCGGGAGAAAAGAAAGATATGTATAAATTTCTCCCAATTTTCATAGTGAAATTTTTTGTGTAGTGTGGCTCTGTAATTTTTTCCTGTTTCGAGTTTTTCCACGTTAAATCCTAATATTCTTTACCATTCTCTACATTTCTATAATATCTTATTTATCTTGATACGTGGTTTCCTTCCAACCTCAACATATATTTTACTCTTAGATTATATTATGCAGAGGTTTTGAATTATTGATCAATTAGGTGACTTAGGAGAAAGCTGCAGATATGAAGTGATTTGATGGCCTGCTTGTTTTACTTGTTTGCTGTTTGATTTGGCGTTCAATAGCATCTCATCATGATATCTAGCTTTCTAGCTTTCTGTTTTTTTTATAAGATTCTTAAATTATCTATTAAATTCAAAGGTGGAAAAATTAGCTTTCAAGGGAAATAGAAACATCAGCTTTATTTTATTGTCCTAGCTAGCTATCTAAATTTATAAATTTTACTGTTAATAGCATAAAAATAATCTACATAAATATATATAATATTTTTATGGTTTATTGTTACTATTATTATCAAACCGCAATTTGAGTTACCAAACGGTCTCCGATTTTGACGAGCTTATACTCGAATCGAAGGGCTCGACGAGAAGAATCCAACGAGCCCAAGATCATCAAATTCCGACATCATTAAGGCCATCAAATGTCCAACGAACGGTGCATGATCAAAGGATTCGATATCGGCCGTCCATTCAAACCACTCCTTGTTCGCCCTTGATCTCACGCCTATTTACGGGCTATGCCACTCCAGAAAAACTATAAATAGAGCCCTCATTCTACACCAAGAGGGGGGAAGTGAAGAGAGAGAAGAAGAAGAGAAGGAGAAGGAGAAAGGGGAATAGGAGATTCCTCACCTCCTCGACCACCGCCGCCGGAGTTTTTCCTGCCGCCTGAAGACGCCGGAACTCTGCCGGATTTTCAGAAAACACAGGGAATTCGCAGGATTTTGTGAATTTCGTGGAAGAGACAAGTTGTATTTGGATTATCCCGACTTGTGGGAAGAAATCCGCCATTTGTAATCTACGAAAACACTAGTGGAAATTTGCAACTGGGCGAGGCCCCGTGGTTTTTCCCATTTTAGGGTTTTCCACGTAAAAACTCTTGGTGTTCACTCTTTCTTTCTGTTTGTGTGTTAAACTTACGTGCAACACTCGGACGCAAATTTACAAACTCTACCGCCGCGTATTTTCTAACACGCAACAAAAGTTATTTTAAGAAGCAGTAAAAAAATCATCTCAAATGAAATCTTAGAGTAATTTAGAAATTGCTTTTTACGCTCTTGTTGCAATCAAATCTCTACAAAAATCATATATTAATCCTTTGAAAGTCTCTTTTACCTATAGTTGATTAATATCATATTTAGCAATAGCATGATATGTAATAGCTCGTATTTTGACTCTTGCAAATAAATTTTTTCTAGAGTCATTATAAATTCAAATTACAAACTGTATTCGCAATAGCATTGAGATTGTAGTATTTTAATTACATAAATTTTTTTGTAATTTTGGTCACCAACAATAATTCATTCATTTTATTTTATTTTAACTTATGACATAAAATAATAAAAAAAATTGATTTGATTGAAAATTAAGTATAACAAATTTTGTCCCATTTTAAAAATAAAATTAGTTAATTGATCAATATGTTCAATCATACAAACATATGACATTATATGATTAATTTTTAGCCAAGTGGCTCATATTTTATATTAATTGAACTAAGGCTTTACTTAGGACAATTTTTTTATTATTTTGTAAAATATTTTTTTTTCGTAAAATTTTTAGGCTTCATTTGTGATGGCTCTGCTTAGTATAAAAATTTTATGCTGAAAATTTGCTTTAAAAAATAGTAAAAAAATTGTCCAAAAAGAAGCGTAAGTAATAAGCTTAGCCTTCTTTTTGCTTCTTATAAAATGAATCTAATTGAAAATTAAGTGTAACAAATTTTGTCTTATCGTTAAGTGGAAAATTAGTCGGTTGATATATTCAATCGTAGAACAAAAAAATATAGAATTGTACGGTTAATTTTTTGCCACGTGGCGTTGATTTTTATATTAGTTGCACTAAGTACAATTCTCTTTGGACTAATTGCAAAATAAATAATTAAAATTTACTTAGAAGACCCTCTTTATTGAAAGGAGAAGGCTGCGGTCATCGGCAACTCATTATTGAGTAAAATAAATGAAATTTAATATTTGGAGGAGTTTTAGAAATCTTGAATTTATTTTTTTGTTTCTGTTTGGAAGGATGGCTTTTATAGAAATATTTTTTAGGAAACTTTATTTTTTTATTGTTTTGAGAAGATTTTTTATATTTGTTTCTCCGTTCAAAAACTCAATTCTGTTAATCAATACTTCTAAAACTATCTTTTACAAAAGGGGAGGAAGAACCAAACAAAGCCTAAGTTACAAGAGAAGTGGCTTTGTACTGGGCAGAGTGGTCCCGCATTCGAGTCGTTCAATCTGTCAAAAGAAAAGAGCGAGAAGGCGGTGATTAATGAGTACTCATTTTTTATACGTCACAAAAAAAACATTCTGATCGTGCACGAATCTTGAGGCAAAATCAAGTTGTAAACATCCAAAATTAAAATTGGCATCATCCGAACTCCGATTTCAGTAAACTTATTGTCGAAGTGATCGTCTCAAAAATATGAACCCAACGACACCAAATTCGACTCAATCCAAGCTCAAATGGGTCCAAATAAAATATTTGAATCGCTTTTGGAAGATTTAAACTACAATTTGGATTAACAAACGGTTTCCAAATGTAACATGCTTATAATCGAATCGAACGGCTCGGCGAGACGAATCCAACGAGCCCAAGATCATCAAATTATGATATCATTAAGACATTCAAATGTTTGATAAATGCTTTATGATATGAGGAATCAATACAAGTCATCTGATGGAGCACTCCGAACCTACCCCTGATCTTCTATATTACTTACGGGGTGTGCCACTCATGAAAATCTATAAATAAACCCCCCCAATTATGAGGGAGACTTTTTAGCTAGAGATGGGAGGGAGCACTGAGGCTCCAAAAGCTACAACACCACTGCTGGCGAACCCCCATTGATTGTCGTCGGACCATCGCTCAGCCGTCGATCATCGTCGAACTTCTGCCCGGCCACTGTCGGACTTTAGCCTGACCTTCGATCATCGTCTGACATCAACCCGATCGTCTTCAGACCACCGCCCTGCCGCAGATCACCACCGAACTTTAGCCCAACGGTTTTCAAACCACCACTCAGCCGCCGACTGTCGTCAAACTTCAGCTCGACTATCGTATGACCACCACCCAGCTGTTACCATCGCAAGACTTCGACCTGGTCGCCAACTGTCGCTGGACTTTAGCCCAACCATAGTAGGACCACCACTCGGCCACCGACCGCCGTCGGACTTCAGCCCAACCGTTGTCAGGCCTCGACACAATCTCTGACCGCCACTGGACTTCCACCCGGTGGCATACAGCTTCCAGACTTTGCAAAATGTTTCTAATTTTAAATCAAATGAAAGCATGTGAGTGAAATCAAACCTAAAATTTTAAAATTGTATTCAAATAATATATTTTTAAAATGTATGTGTTTGATACTTCACAAAAAATCGTCTTGATCAAGAACGAATCTTGAGACGTATCAAGTTAAAAATGTTTGAAATTAAAATTGGGATCATCCAAACTCCAATTTCAACAAACTTATAATCAAAATGAATGTATCACTGAAATGAGCCCAGCGACATTGAAATCAGTCCAACAAATCCGCGTCAAAATGGGCTCAAATCAAGAGTTTAAATCATACTTGGAAGCTTAAAAGCATCAAATAAATATTCAGATAATCTCCAATTTAGACATGTTTATAGTCAAATCAAGCGGCTCGACGAGAAGAATCAAACAAGCTCAAGATCACTCAATTCTAAAATTATTAAGGCACTTAAATGCTTAATGAACACTCTATAATTGAGAGAATAAATATAGACCATCTAATGGATCACTCCGAATTTAACCTAGATCTTCTTCATATTTATTGATCATGTAACTCCCAAAATCTATGAATAAATATCCATTCTATATCTGAAGAAAGAGGAGGCTTATATTATAGGCTAGAGACTCAAGAGAGCCTTGAGGTTTGAGGAAACCTAGACATCCACCCAGAGACCACCGCCGACAAACCCTCAATGCGCGGTCACCAATGCTAGACCTCTACTTGACCATCATCATTAGACCGTTGTCAGACCACCACTGCCGGTGAACCCTCAACCCCCCACCGCCACTACTAGACCTCTTCTCGTCCATTGTCACCGGACCTCTGTCCGACCATAATAACCGACAAAACCTCAACTCCATGCTGTCACTACAAGACATATTGCCGATCACCATCATCGGACATCCATCTGGCCACCACTTCTAGTTCTCTACCCGATCACCATTGTCTACTAATTATAGTCCCTCCAACCACAGTTGTCTAACTACAGTCATTTAGGCCTCCATCATCTGCCAACTACGGTCCTTTCGACCACCATCACCTGACAACGATCCCTCCGACCATTGTTGTCCAACTATAGTCCCTCTGACCACCATTGGCCCACTATGGTCCTTTCGACCACCCTCGGCCGTTGACTATGGTCCCTATGACCAACTTTGTCTAACTATAATTCTTCTTACCTCTTGTTCGCTGACTATAGTCCCTTTGTCCATTATCGCCCAACTACGATCCTTTCGACTTCCATCACATATCGATCATGATCCCTTGACCACTGTCCGCAAACTACAATCCTTTCTACCTTTGTTGCTGACTATGGTCCTTCTGACCTCTGTGGCTTGCCGACTAGGGTACCTTTGACCTTTGTCAGCCAAATACAATCCTGCCAAATGAACATAACAACACTCTCTTGAGAACAACTCTTATGTCATTAGATTCTCCCAACTCCAACTATATAAAATTCTCTATATAATGTATATTTGCTACATTGAGCCAACATCTTCTTTCAAGAAAGGACATCATTTGTAATCAACAACCAACACTAGTGGAGTCTTTTGTTGAAACCCAGAACCTTGTCAGGTTCTTGTTCTTGAGGGAGAACCGAGAGTGGTTGCACGCAAGAGGAAAGCAGGAAGATAACAGAGGAAAAATTGTTTGTATTTCATTGTATTTTTCTTATTACAGGGTAGTATATATAGATAAAATGAGATAAAGAAAGTACAGCCTATTTTATTGTTATACATGAAACCCAATACTAATGTGCCACGTGTGTTGTGAGTTAACAGCCCCCTTCAACTGAGCAAGGCCCCGCGCGCAATATTTCCCCCATTTGTGCTTTTCTACATAAAAATTTTAGTATATATTATGATTATTGCACCACTATCTCTTATATGCATGTATGCTGAATCTCCGTGCAAAATTAAGGCGTTAAGTTTTTTATGTCTTTACCATCGCGAATACTTTGACATACAACAACCTTATTTTAAAAATAAAGCTTTTTCGATCGGTATAGCACAATTCATTCACTTTTTGGTTTATTTTTAATACATATGTTCTCATAACTTAAAATATAATTCATTTATTTTTCAGAAATAAAAAATTAGATAAACAAATTAATTATTAAATATAATTTCAGTAAAAAACACTATTTTGGTAATAAGAAATTTTTTTTAATAAGACCCTTGAATTACCAATCTCTTCAGTGCTACCTGCTTGCCGCTAAAAAAAGAAAAAAAATAATTTTCGATAAGAGCGTATAAGATTATCTACTAACCTATTATAAACTGTCAAAGCAGTAGTGAATCTTAAAATAAGACAGCACCTCTTACTGTAGCCCAAGTGTAGCCTTACAAAATATAAGAAAGAACAAGCCTCACCTTCCGTTACAGAAGTCGCCACACCGGAGACGCCGCAAGCCCCCAACAGCTGGCACTCCATGGAACATTAAACATCGTGCAGATTCTATGATGTGCGGCGCCGATCTAATCGTATCTATTAAACGTCAATTACAAAACTTTTTTTCTTTTTGAGAATTTCGGCGTTTCCCTTCCCCCGCCTACTTATAAAACTCCATCCTTCCACAAACCCGTTACCCGTTCGAGATAAAGCTACATATTGAGCGACGGCAGGATTCGGCGGCGCCGGCGATGAGGAGGAAATCAATGGCTCCGTCCTTCGCTAGCCTGCGGGCTTACGGCCGCGCGGTGGCGGAAACTCACTGGCGATTCAGTCGGCGTGCGGGTTCGGTAACGACAACGTACGAAGAGATGAGCCGAGTTCGGGCTCGTTCGGGGACCGACATGGCGCGAACTCTTCGCTGGACTGATCTCGTTGGACTCGGCATCGGAGGGATGGTCGGTGCCGGCGTCTTCGTCAGCACTGGCCGCGCCGCCCGTGACCTTTCTGGCCCTGCTATAATCGTCTCTTACGCCATTGCCGGTCTCTGTGCCCTTCTATCAGCCTTTTGTTATACCGAGTTTGCCGTCGAATTGCCCGTCGCCGGCGGCGCTTTCAGCTATCTTAGGGTCACATTCGGTGAGTTATTTACTGCATTTATTAGTAGTTAGGACCATTTCTTATAATGTTTTCTTTCTTTCCATGCTTTAATCTTGCTCTGCCCGCTTCAATCTGTTTTAAAGTTCCATTTTTGCTTATTTCCTGATTTGTTCCTGATTCCATTTCTTTCACTGTATACGAAATTAAATACTGAGCATTGATAAAAGGAGCTTATTCGTGACAGTTTAATTTGTGAAAATGAGCTTAAAAAACAATTATGGATAGTTATAGTGACGCATAACGGTTGAATACAGGGGAATTCGCAGCTTTTTTAACAGGAGCCAATCTGGTAATGGAGTATGTCTTCTCAAACGCAGCGGTGGCGAGAAGCTTCACAGCATATTTAGGAACCGCCATTGGAGTCGAAACAGAGGAAAAATGGAGGTTTACAATCTCCGGCCTACCCAATGGCTTCAACAAGCTCGACCCTCTCGCCGTCTGCGTCATACTTATTCTAACCCTCTGCATCTGCTACAGGTAAATTGAATGCGAAAGCTCAAAAATTTCTGATATTTCTTCATAATCCAATCCTTCTCCTTGAAACAAACAAGTGGATTTCAGCACAAAGGACAGTTCGAAGCTTAACTTGGCATTAACGGCGACACACTTATCCTTTATTATTTTCATCATCATGATTGGGTTTTGGCGAGGAGAATGGAAGAACTTAACGCGGCCGGCGTGGCCGGCGAAGCATCCCGGAGGTTTCTTGCCGTACGGCGTCGGCGGCATCTTTACAGGCGCCGCGGCCGTTTACATGAGCTATATTGGGTATGATGCGGTGTCGACAATGGCGGAGGAGGTGAAGAGTCCGGTGAAGGATATTCCCATAGGTGTTTCTGGCTCTGTCGCGATCGTCACGGTTCTGTATTGTTTAATGGCGGCTTCCATGGCCATGCTCGTGCCCTACGATGCGGTGAGTTCTTCTCCCTCGAGCTGAATTTGCTTCTTTTTGCCTTCTTAGCACACTCTGACACTCTGTCAAGCTTTTCTGCGGAATGAGCCCGCCGCTAGGTCCGTGAGACTTCTTTTTGCTCGTGTTTTTTTTTTTGAATTTAAAAAAAATCATAATTTTTATATATGATTTAAATAATTAAGTGTTATATAAATAAATAAAGAATTTCTAATGTTAGACATATAAACAAATAAAAATTGAGTGGAATTTATATTATTTTATTTTCAATGCAACTTTTTTTTTTTTTGAGAAAATATGGAAATATTCGACTACTCTCATAATAATAATAAATGATATGTATTTGAAAGTCAGTATTCTTCACAATCATTTTTAAATTTTATTTTTAAAAAAGCTGATTTTAGAAAAGCATTTTTGAAACCGCTTTTTATGAAAAAGTTTTTAAAAGCAAAAACAAAAACTTACATTTTGATTTTCTTAGTTGAATTTTTTATATTATTTTTAATAATGTGGAGTAAATTTAAATTTTATTTATGTGTAATACTTTTTAATAAAACCAAATTTTTTTTATTGAAATTTATGTTAAAATTAAAACAGCATATGATATCATATACAAGCACTACAACAACAACAACAACATCAAGCCTTTATCCCACTACGTGGGGTCGGCTACATGAATCCTTTTTCTCCATTGTGTTCTATTAAAAGTCAAATTCTCATTTAAACCTAATAAAGAAAGGTCATTCCTAATATTTTCTAACCAAGTCTTTTTAGGTCTACCCCTACCTTTCTTAACATAAGTCAAATCTAATACCTCTACTCTCCTAACCGGGTCATCGAAAGGCCGTCGTTTTATGTGGCCAAACCATCTAAGGCGACTCTCTCTAATTTTATCTTCTACTGGAGCTACTCCAACCTTTTCACGTATATGCTCATTTCGTATCCTATCTCTAAGGGTAAAGCCACTCATCCACCTGAGCATTCTCATCTCTGCCACACTTAACTTAGTATTATGCTTCTCTTTTAATGGCCAACATTCGGCACCATAAAGCATTGCAGGCCTCACTACCATCTTATAGAATTTTCCTTTAAGTTTGAGGGGTACATTTCTATCACATAACAAGCCCGATGCATTCCTCCACTTCAACCATCCAACTTGAATTCTATTGATAATATCCCCATCTATTTCACCATCACTCTAAACAAATAGATCAAAGATATCTAAAATGTGTACTCTTATTAATGAATTGATCGCCCAAAGTCACAAACCCC